GATATCTTGTTTCCAAAATAAAATGCTCTTTAAGGAAGAAATCCTTGCCTTGAAGTTCTTTTAAACGGTTTCATCTGTCGGAACGGTGACATTTAGCAGCAACGGTGGTAAATCTTAGATCTCATGACGTTCATGATGGATTTATTATTTTGACTTACAGCCTGCCTTTCTGTGCATTACATAGGCACTCAAGGTAGCTGGGAGGAAGGAGAGGATTCAGTCACAGTCTGAAAAGCCACTGGAACTTTTTCAGACGAAGGAGACCAGAAACCACGAACAGACGTGGAAGGAACGGTCCATGTTTCTCACCATTTGGAAAGAAATCCTGATTCGTTTCAATGGAAAATTGAATGGCATTTGTTGAGTGCAGGGACACCATCTGATGGAACGAATGGGAGAAGGAGGGAGTCCGTTCTCTTTCTACACATGTGTAATAGTAATAATAATAATAATAATAATAATAATAATAATAATAATAATAATAATAATAATAATAATAATAATAATAATAATAAAGTTGGAAGGGACCTTGGAGGTCATCTAGTCCAACCCCCTGCTCAGGCAGGCAGGAAACCCTATACCATTTCAGACAAAGGGCTGCCCAGTCTCTTCTTAAAAACTTCCAGTGTTGGAGCATTCACAGCTTCTGGAGGCAGGTTGTAGAGATTTGATTCTTCAAGGCATCCTGCAGCTGTCACACCAAGAGGACAGCTTGGGGCAAAGCTATCTTTTAATGATATCACAACAAAGGGAAGGAGAGTGTCTTTTGTCAGTTGATTTGTGTTTCTGTCACAATAACTGCAGCTTCATGACTGATCTTACTCAACAGAATCAGGATGCTTAGGTTTCCCGATATGTTTTCAGGTCCTTGAATTCAAAGATACTTATCATAAGGATGCAAGTTTGCTCTACAATAGGGAATTCAATTCGGGTAGTCCTCGACTTAAGACCATAACTGAGCCCAAAATTGATGCTGCTAAGCGAAGCATTTGTTAAGTGAGTTTTTCCTCCCATTTTACGACCTTTCTTGCCACAGTTGCTAAGTGAATCACTGCAGCTGTTAAGTTAGTAACACAATTGTTAAGTGAATTTGGCCTCCCCCTTTGACTTTGCTTGTCAGAAAGTCGCAAAAGGGGATCACATGACCACGCGACACTGCAACCGTCATAAATATGAGCCAGTTGTCATAAGTCTTTTTTTTCTCCAGTGCTATTGTAACTTTGAACAGTCACTAAATCAACTGTTGTAAGTCTAGGCCAGGGATAGGCAACCTTGGCTCTTTTGTGACTCGTGGACTTCAACTCCCAGAATTCCTGAGTCAGCCATGCTGAGGGGAAAGGGAGAGGTTTCCAAGCTGAGCCATGCTGGCTCAGGAATTCTGGGAGTTGAAGTCCACGAGTCATAAAAGGGCCAAGGTTGCCTACTCCTGGTCTAGGACTACCTGTACTGGCCCTGGGAAAAATAATGAGAAAACCTTAGGAGAACTAATTGGGAAAAGGGAGTTTTAAATCTTCCATTGAAGGAAAATCTGATGGAAGCAAAAGTGAAGCAGCCCAAAGAAATTTACAAGGTCTCCTTCTCCCCCTCAGATGTCAAAAAACATGCAAATGAACCCCAGGCATCGCCCACAGTGCTATTTAAAGTCCTCATAAAATAGCAACATTTCATGAGACGTTAAATATCAATTGCATTCTCTCTCTGTGTGTATAGCCGTAGCCTGAAATAGTAATTTGTTCGATAAACAGTCATCCGACTTGATTATAGCTCTCAGGGCCTTTTGTGAGTTTACAGTAATGAAGCAAAGAATAAAAGCATTGGAAAATCAATTTTTATTTCTTTTTTTTTCCTGAGCACTCATTCCTGTTTTTATTTCAGACCAGTAGAACACAAGTAGCCCTTGACGTACAACCACAATTGAGCCCAAAATTTATGTTGCTCAGCAAAACATTTGTTAAGTGAGTTCTATCCCATTTTGCAGCCTTTCTTGCCTTTCTTGTTAAGGTAGTGAGTGACATGATAACAGTATTTCAGTATTTGAGAGGCTGCCACCAAGAACAGGGCATCAAACTATTCTCCAAAGCACCAGAGGGCAGGACAAGAAACAATGGTTGGAAACTGACCAAAGAGAGAAGCAACCTGGAATTAAGGAAAAACTTCCTGACAGTTAGGACAATTAACCAGTGGAACAGTTTTGCCTCTAGAAGTTGTAGGTACTTCATCACTGGAGATTTTTAAGAAGAGACTAGACAGCCAGTCTGAGATGGGATAGGTTCTCCTGCTTGAGTACGGGGCTGGACTAGAAGATCCAAGGGATCCAAGGTCCCTTCCAGCTCTATTCTATTCTATTCTATTCTATTCTATTCTATTCTATTCCATTCCATTCCATTCCATTCCATTCCATTCCATTCCATACTATTCTCTATTGTATTCTATTGTATTCTATTGTATTCTATTGTATTCTATTGTATTGTATTGTATTCTATTCTATTCTATTCTATTCCATTCCATTCCATTCTATTCTACCATACCATACCATACCATACCATACCATACCATACCATACCATACCATACCATACCATACCATTCCATTCCATTCTATTCTATTCTATTCCATACTATTCTCTATTCTATTCTATTCTATTCTATTCTATTCTATTCTATTCTATTCTATTCTATTCTATTCTATTCCATACTATTCTCTATTCTATTCTATTCTATTCTATTCTATTCTATTCTATTCTATTCCATTCCATACTATTCTCTATTCTATTCTATTCTATTCTATTCTATTCTATTCTATTCTATTCTATTCTATTCTATTCTTCCATACCATACCATACCATACACCATACCATACCATACCATACCATTCCATTCCATTCTATTCTATTCTATTCTTGTCTAGTCTAGTCTATGTCTAGTCTAGTCTCATAGTTGTTAAGTGAATAAGGCTTCTCCATTGAATTTGCTCATTAGAAGGTCACAAAAGGTGATCACATAACCCCGGGACACTGCAACCGTCATAGATATGAGCCAGTTGCCAAGCATCTAAAGTTTGAGATCACGTGACCATGGGGATGCTGCAATGGTCGTTAAGTGTGAAAAATGGTCATAAATCACATTTCCGAGCGCCACTGTGACTTCAAACAGTCACTAAATGAATAGTTGTAAGTTGAGGACTACCTGTAATCTCTTAAAATCAGAAGGACTGAAACAAGAACAAGATTGATGGGGCACTTGGCTGTTTCAAGCTTTTGCCCTCCAAATCTGTGACAAGTACAGTGTGGGAAGTAGAATAAAAACTGAGAACAAACCCCACTCCTTGCTGATGATGTTACCTAGTTTGGGTAATGAAACGTCTGCAAGAAAACAAGCAAACTCAGAGAGCATCAAGAACCTCTCATTTCAATCCTCCTTTATTGGGAAGCATAATTCCCAGAATTGCCACCCAGCGTGGTCAAAGGTGAGCATCATGTTGAGGACTGAGACTGAGGACCCTCCCACCATCTATAATTGGCTGCATCTCCATGGCTTCAAGCAGCATCTCCAATAGTGATGGTGCTGGCACACAGCACTAAGTGATCTTGATTAGCTTTTCTGGGAATATACATGTTCTGTCCTTGCTAAGAATAAAAGTACTGTATTTACAAAGTAACCCATAATATGGGAGTTTTAAAAAGAAATTGTGGATCACTTACTGGAATTAAAACCAAATTATAGAAGCCTCGGTAGGAGATAACCAGGCTGAGCCAGAGGAAGGGATCAAGGACGTCATTAGTCTCAAGTCCCTTCGTGCCCACAGGAGATCTAAGTCCAGCCCACCATGAATTCCGTTGACTCTTAGCTACCGCTAAGCTAATAAGCTAAGCTAATTTGCTTTGACTGTTAGTAGTTTACATTCCTGTAGAAAGCTTAAGCTTACAACATGTCCTTTATATTGATTTAAACTGGCTCAGCACTGGGGGACGGCACAAATTACATGTCTCGGGTGAGTTTGGTTTTAGGGGACATGACTGGCAGGATGCTGAACTTAAGATTGCAAGCAAGACCTCAGAGAACATTTCAGAGCTGCATGCTTAAGAGTTTCCTGTCATCTTGTACGGGGAATCCAAATTGAACATTTTTATGTAAAGAGCAGAAGGTGAAACGAGGACGCTGAATTATGGAAAAGGTGTTGGAAGCTTGAAAAATTGCCAAGTAATTGTCACTTACGTGCACTATGGAAACATGGGCCCAGATATGAAATAACAGCTGGTTTAGAATGTGTCGTTGCTGAACAGTTCTAGCAGAAAACATTTGGAAGCAAAGGGCAGCATCTTCTATTAATTAAAGCAAAACCTTGTGTTTTTATTATTCTGAACTGTTCGCTCAAATAAAAAGTCCATGCGTGTTGATTTTCTTAAGCTTCAAAGTGCTGATCAAAATGTTTACCAAACGAGCAACACCAGAGGTGGTAGAATTTTTGGTGCATATTTTATAAGCCCGCTGTTCCAATTCTATCTAATTTGACACAACATTGGTGAGGTTACCTTCCTTACAGTTTCAGAAACCAGTTGGAAGACTTACTGAGCGTGCCTTTTTTCATCATCTCGAGCCAAAGTTGCCACGTAACCCACAAGGTATGCTTGCAGTTCTTCAAACGTTCCAACCGTTTGATTAAAAGTTCTGCGAATACAACAGAAGTGAATCAAAACATATCCTTTTGCTAGAAAAAGAAATATTGCAGCAGCCTTCTGTGGAGATATAAGTATTTTAAATCTCATAAACCAGGGGTGTCAAACTCAATTTCATTGAGGGCCGCATCAACATTGCGGTTGCCCTTGGGGGGCGGGGCGGGGCGGGGGACGTGGCCAGGGTGGGTGCGGCCTACTGGGCGTGGATGGAGTGGATGTGGCCTACTGGGTGGGCGTGGCCAGCTCTACATCATTCGGGTGCCTGTGGGGGCCTGGGCAGGAGTGGGACAGATCTGAGGGTCTCTGGCAGAAAGGGGTGGGATCAGGGCAGAGCCCATCAAACCGGATATGTGAAGTAGGCGAGGGCCATTTGCTGGCCACTTCCAGGCGATGGTGCATTCCTTCATTCCTCACAAAGGGTGACACCTCCCCAGCATGCACCCAGGGGGCGGGACCGACACAGCAGGGGCTGGTTCCACACTGTTTCTAGACGGCCTTGTGGAGCTAAGACTGAATGCGTTTCAGCATAGATGGCCACCACAAAATTGTACATTGGCTCCCGGCCGGCCTGGGCCAGGGCCAAGGTAGCAGGGGCCGTTCCCTCACTGTTTCCAGGATGGCTTCGTGGGCCGCATGAAACCACTTCGCGGGCCGCATCCGGCCCCCGGGCCTTGTGTTTGACATGTCTGTCATAAACTATAGCCAGCCCAAAAGTGCTTTTCAAAAGGCAACTGGACTTTCTTGGTTTTTTCTCATCCAAGAAGCTTCTTCAGTTCTGACCCGACGTAGATCTCGATTGGCTCCCTGGTTTACCGAGGAGCTGAGAGAGATGAAACGTCGGAAAAGATGCCTAGAGAGCTGTTGGAGGGCCAGCCGAACCGAATCCGACCGAACACGGGTTAGGATACATGTTAGATCCTACCTAGTGGCGATGAGGGTGACTAGGACTAACTACTATTCCTCGCTCATCGCG